AATGCACATGAAATTTTATAATAAAAAAGTCTATTATAACAGACTATGATGTAAGTGCACGTCAAATTGAATAAATAAGAAATTTGATCCTAAAGAACTTCCACTTTGGATTTTTCTTGAAAATAAACCACTACCTAATAAACAGTGTCATGCTACTGTTGTGAATTGGTAAAGGGACATTTGATGGGGAAGACTGATATAACAAAGAAGAAGAAGCATGAAACAAATAAATAAATATTTAAACTACATAGCAGAATTGTGTGTATAACAATAAAGCAATATATATTTCTTAACCCTTACAACAATTTAAATAAAAACTTGTTTATGACTAGTAATTACCATACAACTCCTGAAACAGCATTTAATTTAATTTGTACTTATCTTATCTGGTTAGGATTAACTAAGAGGTTATACTTGTTACAAAAACCCAGTTTCTTAATTTTCTAGCTAGTTATTTATACATAGTATTGCACAAATTCATATGAGTATACCTTTAAACAGTGCAAGTATAAATCTAATCGTATAGGAATATTTAAACTTTAATTACTTACAAAATCCAAAATGCCTGTTGTTTCTGTGCGTATTAAGGCAGAAAGTGTAAAATTAAACTGGATTGGTGTTCCTGTACCTAAAAATATTACAGTAAGACAGTTTTATGAAGATCTTATTGCAGGAAACATTGTTTCTGAGGTGCAGTTGAATTATAAAGATCGTCTGCAACCAGTTAAAGTAGAGTTTTTATTTAACACAACTGGGTCTTTTAATGTTGTTAGTATGGAATATAATATGATCGAAGCAATTGAAGCTTGGGGAATCAGAGTGCAGTATTATCAAACAGATAGTTTAATGTTACCACCTTCTGAAATGTCAATTAATGTTTTTGAACAAATGATGAACAATGCTACCAACTTTAATCATCTACCAACATTTACTATCTCAGAACAATCAAATGCACTAGAGAAATTAAGATATGATATTGTTGAATGGATTTGTGAAAATAATGGTGGATGGAGCAAAGATACTGCTATAACAACCGGAAAAGAATTTGTTAAAGACTTAGCTGCTATGTTATGGTATACAGATAAATGTGATTCAGAAAAGTTGAAAATCTGAGGTTTTGCTATTCCTATTGAAATGGAACAGTTTACTAGACGCTATAATATAAGTCGCTTAAAAAAAAAGAGAGAACAATTTGATAAAACTATGCTTGCATATCATTCAAATATTCTATTCAAATATACAAGATCTGCATGGATTAGAAGACCTGCATTTCATTGGCTTGTTAATCCGTTAGAGCAATTAGCTACAAATTTGTCTCAATATCAAGAATTTTTACAAAAACAGCTAATAACTGTAATTCAAAATCATTTTTCCTTAGAACTAGTTAAAAAAAACAATAGTTTTCTTACTATTTTACAGCCCAATTTGGTTAGAAAATCTCACATTATT